CCCATTTCTCCCTCCATTGTAAAATCTATTCTTTGCATGTCTCTTTTATATGAAATAAATTTTCCCATTCTTCCTTTTCCTCGCCCCTTCTCCCAGTATATCCCTCTTTTTCACCCTTCCATTTTCTTTTGAGATTATCCCAACTCACACCTATGTCCTCTAAGTAGATTCCTTCTAACTGCCCCAATGATGATAACGTTCTTAGTGGTTAACATGTATCATCTTCTCATTTGGGAATATAAACAGTTTAACCTTATTAAGTTCCTTATGATTTCTCATTCTTGTTTACCTTTTTATATTTCTCTTGAGTCTTGTGTTTGAATGTCAATTTTCTCTTTTCAACAGGAATGCTTAGAAGGCCTCTATTTAATTGAATGCCCATTCATTCCCCCTGACTCCATGTAGGACTTTACTCATTTTTGCTGGATAGGTTACTCTTGGTTGTAACCATAGCGCCTTTGCCTTCCAAAATATCATATTCTAAGCCCTCCCCTCCTTTCTAGTAGTAATTACTAACTCTTGTGTTATCCTGAGTATGACTCCACTATATTTAAATGATTTCTTTATGGCTAATTTCAGCAATTTTCCTTTACATCAGAGCTCTCAAATTTGGCCATAATATTCCTGGGAGTTTTCATTTTGGGATCTTTTTCAGGAGAAAATTGGTGGATTCTTTCAATTTCTACTTTGCTCTCTGGTTCTAAGATACCTGGGCAATTTTCCTTTATAATTTTTTGAAATATGAACACTAGGCTCTTTTTTGTTATCATGGCTTTCAGGTAGTCCAATAATTCTTAAATCATTTCTCCTCAATCCATTTTCCAGGTCAGTTGTTTTTCCTTTGAGATATTTCATGTTTTCTTCTATTTTTTCCAGTCTTTTGACTTTTTTTGATTGTTTCTTGATGTTTCATGGAGTCATTAGCTTCCACTTGACCAATTCTAATTTTTAAAAAGTTATTTTCTGCAGTGAGGTTTTGTACCTTTTTTACCAATTGGCCAATTCGAAGGAGTTTTCTTCAGTAATTTTTGTTCCTCTTTTATGATTTGACCAGTTCTGATTTTTAAGGAGTTATTTTCTTTAGTATTTTTGTGCCTCTTTTACCAAACTATTAATACTCTTTTCATAATTTTCTTTCATTGTTCTCATTTATTTTTTCCCAACTTTTTCTCTATAGCTCTTATTTGATTAAAAAAAAATCATTTCCCACTCTTTTTTTTAAAATCTCTTTCTTTAGCCCTTCTAGGATTTCTTGTTGTGCTTGTGTCCAATATGCATTTTTCTTTGAAACTTTGCAGGTAGATATTTTCAGGTCACGATCTTCTTCTGAGTTTGTATGTTTAATATTCCTGTCACCATAGTAGATTTTTATGATCAGGTTCTTTTTTGTTGTTGTTTGTTCATTTTTCCAGTCTATTTATTGACTTTGGATTTTATGTTAAGAGTGGGGCTCCTTTCATCTATCTCTGACAGGGGATGACTGACCTATACTTATCTCTTATATATCCTTCTGCAGCTTTCATAGCTATATCTGTAGACCTATAAGTTTTCAGTGTTTCCAAAGTTGTGTGATCTCGGAAGAGGTCTGGTCACTGTCCTCCCAGTCTTCACTTTAGTGCTTTCCCAGGTAAGGCCCCTGAGCCCTCACAAACACAACTGTTCCTCTCTGCCTTGGAACTACAATCCACACCCAAGTAGGACTCCTGTTCTTTTGTGACCACAACCACTCCTTTCCATCCTGGATCTGCAACCCAGAGATGGATAATAGGCAAAGGATCTGCCAGACTGTGTCTAGTGCTGGGGTAAAAAGATGAATTCCATTTTGGATGTGTTGAGTTCAAGAAACCCATGGGATTTCCAGGTGGAGCTGTCTAGCAGGAAGTTGATAATGTCAGACTAGAGTTCAGGAGGGAAGAAGTCTATATATGTAGATTTTAGAGTCATTTGTGAAGAGATGATCATTGAATGCATGGTTGCTAATGACATCACCAAGAAAGAGGTTTTAGAGAGAGAATAGGGTCTAGACAGCATTGGGGGGATTTACAGTTATGGGGCAGGTGATATATGATAACTCAATCCAATCCTATGGTTATTATACACCTAATATATGTGTAAGGCATTGTGGTTGGGATACAAAAATAAAATGAACAATAGATGCTGACTTCAATGATTAAAAAAAGTAAAAGAGACTGAAAAACATTCAGGTTGGTAGGAGAATCAGGAAAACAGTCTCACAGTTGGTGGAAAGAGTCTCGTAGAGGTAGTGATGTTTCCCAGTGTCAAAATCTGAAGAGAAGTAAATAAAGTTTATTACAAAAGGTGGTCAGATTTAATAGCTAAAATATCATTAGCGAGCTTAGAGAGAACAGTTTTTGTCAAGTGTTGGGGTTAGAAACCAGATGGCAAGGGGCTGAAAAGTGTTTGGGAGGAGAAGAAGTGAAAAGTGAAGGCAAGAGAATAAATGACTTTTTCTAGGAATTTGGCTGTGAAAGGGATGCAGAGTCAAGATGTGTAACTGAGCTTCAAAATTTTTGAAAGTACAAATGTAGGACTGGACATGTTTGTAGGCAGCAGGGAAGGAACTGCTACATAAGGAGAGAGTGAGAGGGACTGATTGGAAAGGCAAGCCCCTGGAAGAAACTGGCAAGGCACAATTATATGGGTGGAAAAGAGCCACGTCTTTATGACAGACTAAAGTGAAAAAGGAGAGTAAAAGAGGAAGATGAAGAAGGATTTTGGGGAACCAAACACAAGTACAACACCCTTCAGGAAGCTTTTCCTGAAGGCTTTCTACTCTCAAATACTAATGACCTTTAGCTTACCCCATCAGGACTTCATGTAGCACCTTTTAACCTCTTCTGTGCATTTATCTTGAATTTTATCTGTGTGTGTATATGTACATGTACATGTACATGTACATATACACATGTGTGTTCGTATGTGTGTATATGTGTACGTATATAATGTCTCCTATACCAGACCATGAGCTTTGGGGGGGGGGGGAAGAGACCATCACCCAATCTAAGTTTGGCATTTCACACTGCCTATCACAGGAGCCTGAACATAGTAGGCACTTAACAATATTCATTAAATTGAGGTTATCTAAAGGTTTGTGTAGTTGATGAAGACAAGATCTGAGTCTAGAATTTAAGGCACAGATCTAATTAAATAGGAAATTTAGTTACAAGTACTAGGACCAGTTCATGTTGTGCCATGAGTCAATGTGGTGTGGTGTGGTAGGAGGAACCTTGGGTCTGGAATCAGAGGCTCTAAGTTCAAATTCTGGCTCAAATGACTTAGTGGGTGACCTTCAACAAATTGTTTCACCTTTCTGGGTCTCTGCTTCCTCACTTGTAAGGCGAGGGGGGCAGGGACTGGACTAATTGATCTTGAAGGTAGGTCCCTTATGAAGTTTTGGGATCTATGTACCTAGAATCTGAATTAGTCTTCTCAACACTAACTACAAAAGGAGTTTGTAGCTTCAGTGTGCACCTGGCTTCAGTGGAGGCCTACTAGGGCAATGAATTGACAGGCAAATTGGCTAACAGCATTTTCACCTGCATGTGTTTGTTCTCTGGGTTAGGTTACATAAACACACACCACCAGATTGCCTAGTTCAGCTAAAAATTGAGTTTATTTAAACAGCAGCTGATGAAAGAACCCTTATTCTCCCTTAGGAAGATCCCAGGTGTGTTATACAGCTTAGAGAAGCATGTAATGTTATTGGTGGGGAAAAAATGCTTTCAGCTAAATATACACATTTCTCCATCATTTTAGAGGCCTGCTAGAAAATAGTTGTCTACCAAAAGGTTTTGTTTTTAACTGTATAAACTTTCTAAGAAGAGTAAATGCACATTATTCTAATAGTTTCTTAATATGATTACCTCCCAGGTCCCAAGATGACGTAATCCCTGGAATCTGCTTTATGTTATTTACCTGGAAGGCAGTAGGGGAAGGGTAGAAGGGAATCAGCTTGTGCCACTGAAATGTTCCTTGGTTTCTTACTTCATGTGAGTGATGAATAACCTTTGATTAGTCATTTTTAGTGATGTCATATAATTGTCCTGAGAACCCTTGTTCTCAGGAGACAGAGTTCTGGGTGTGGAGAGTTAGGGGACCTGAGCGCCAATCCAAGCCCTCCCCTTCTTAACTTGTGTGATTATGAGCAAGTCACTCATACCTCTAGGCTTCTCTTTCCTTACCTATAAAGTGAGTGGGTTGATATGATTGACCAATAAGGTCTTTTCCAGCTCTAGATGACATGTTCACAGATTTGGAGCTGGGAGGGACCATATGTGCCATTTCGTCCAACTCTCTCATTTATAGATGAAAAATCTAAGGCTCAGAGAGGGAAATCACTTGCCCAAGGTCACACAGGTAAGATGTGTTAGAGGCAGAATCTGAAGCAGATCCTCTGGCTCCAAACCCAGTGTTCTTTCTACTCTTCTGATCCTATGGAAGAATACAGACTTAATGAAGAGGAAAGATGAGTTCTGCTGTACTGAGTGATCCAAAACGGCTCCCCGGAATTGGCTAGGTGGGCCTCGTACTCCGCAATTACTCCTTGGGGCTGACATGGCACCTCCTGTAGGAGAACGATGGAAAGTCAATAATTGTCTAAGCCTTGTTTGGTGTTGGAGTCATGACACTGGAAATGTCTTCCCTCCCCCTCCCAAAGGCTGGCTGCTTCCCTGTTGGAGGGGACATTGTTGTAGCACTAGAATGGATCTGAAGCAAGGGAGTAAAAACAAAATAATTTCCTACTCCTTGGCTTCTCCCTTTGGGGCCAACTGAAATGCTAAAAGTATTAGAACACAGGTATAAAAATACCACTGGTGTGATGGCCCACAATTATTCAATGCCTGCTCTTGGGTAATAACTCCCCCACTGTAACACCCTTCCCCTGCCATTTTCCTTTTCAAAAAGTGGCCTGTGGCTGCAACAGAACACTGCAGTTCTAGGATCTCAGACTTGGGGAAGAACACTTGAGAGCCTGGAGAGAGGGGGAAAAAATCAAATGTCCCATTAGCAGTTTATTGTCATGTAGGAGTACTCTGCCAACACATTAGGTACACACAGCTCAGCGAATGTCCAAACATTGATGGCAGTTGTTTGATGCCAGGTAAGAGATGCAAAGTAACCCAAGGCACTCAGCAATTTAGCCTGTTCAATTAGGAACATCCATGTTTCTTTAAGTTCCCTTGAGAGATCAGCAAAGTACTGCCAAATGACATTAGTGTCCATCCTCCCTTTGATTTGAAAACACGGCTAATTCACTCAATTCTTCAGAATTCTTCTATATCTGTCCATTTGTTGGATGCTTTGGGTAACACTGATGGTGACTTCTCTTGCTGACATCTGCTTGTGTTCTTTTTTCACCTGTTAAAAAAGGTTTACAATATTAAGTTATACCTCCATTGGGTAATAGCCAAAGATCCTTCCTTCTTTAATATTTTGAATAATATCACAGGGTGGGATGTGTGTGTGTGTGTGTGTGTGTGTGTGTGTGTGTGTGTGTGTGTGTGAAATAGATTAAGCCACAAACAGCAAGCGATGTTCTCCACCTAGAACTCAGTTTCTGGAAGTAACTTCACCTCATGAACTTTTCAGAAGAAAAATCATTAATTCAGCCCAGAATCAGTCAGCATTAAGTTTACCCAAATAGCATTTCTTTCCCAGTGGAAGGCAGAGTCTCTCCTCACTCACACTACTGAGTTTCATTGGGCCAGGATGTTAATAGGAAAAAAAAAAACAACAAAAAATACTCAATGGTGCAGGGAAGAGATAAATCAACTTCTTTCAAATAAGATTGGTTGATGACAACATTCACACAAAATTGTCTAGGCACGCTGGTTGACTGGCTTTCAGCTGTTAAATTTTAAAAGCTCAGAATCAGCTAATTGCCATTCTTGGGAGCACCTGGCTAAATTCCCCAGGAGAGCAAAGATTATACCTATTCAAAACTGGCTCCATTGATTGGCAGTGTGTATTTTCTAAGGCAAAATTCACTTGACTATATCACTGAAATGCTAGTTCCTAATCTCCAAGCTTGCTTAAAGGTTGAAATATTTTTTTCTGTTTGTTTTTTTCTTTATTCACTCAAATTGCCATTTCAGGGCCAATAAGGAACCAAGAAAAAACTTCCCACTCTTGAAACGTCATTAACAGGCAAAAAATTAAAATTGTATCATCCTCATAGGTACTCACAATGGATCAATTTCAGTTCCTTTCATAAAAATGCTCTGTAAACATATACTTTCCCATTTTATAAAAAATGCATTAATAAGGTCAGATATATATATATGTATATATATGTATATATATACATACACACACACACACAGATATATATATATATATATATATAATTCTTGGTGCAGCATTAAAATAAAAGGATAAAGGAGCAGCTAGGTGGCACAGTGGATAAAGTACTGGCCCTAGAATCAGGAGGACCTGAGTTCAAATCCAGCCTCAGACACTTAACACTTATTAGCTGTATGACCCTGGGGCAAGTCATTTAACTTCATTGCCTAACCCCTCCCCCCCAAAAAAAGGATAAAACCTTTATCTGAGGTACAGTATCCTTACTCTAGGACTTGCCAAGAGGCTGTTTCTGAATCTGTAAACCACTGTCTTTCTCTGCTAAACAAGGAATCTGCTTAAAACCAGTCTCTAAGGTGAGAGGGAAATTAGAATCCATTTAGTAAAATTCATACCTAAAAATGAGTCCCTCCCTCTCCCCATACTCCCATACAACATCAAAAATGGCCTTCCAAGTTTTTCTTGTTTTTGTGAGAGGGATACTACTACATGGCAAGGCAATTCATTCTGCTGTGGATTAATTCTAGTTGTTTGGAGGTTTAGCTTTACATTTAATTCAAATTTGTCTCCCTGTAACTTCCACCAACTCCAAGACTTAAAGATTTAAATTTTCCATCAGTTGACAGTATGACAATGAAAACTGTCAAAGAATGTTAGAAATACATTCTGCAAATAGCAAACCTGCTTTGGAACTGTCCCAATTACTACATCTCTCATCTACTTGGATAGGAATGAGGGCAGTACCCGAACATTTTTCTGAGACTGGCCCTGAAATTCTAGTATTCAATTCATTTCAACAAGCACTGTGGTGTAGGCTCTGGAGATGCAAAGGAAAAAAAACATGTCCCTGCCCTCAAAGAACATATTGAGGAGGGGGTGGTAATGAGGGAGAGATACATAGATAAACATCAGATTATAGCTCACATCTAGCATTCAGTATTACATTGAATCAGGGAAGGCTTTATTTCATATTTCACCAGTCAGAAACTAGAAAGGACTCATACCTAGGCTTACAAATAGTCAGCACAACTCTCCTTTCTCTAGTGAACCCCATCTCTCCTAGGCAGTCTTCCAGACAAACAGGACTAGCCCACGGTTGGGATCCTCCAAAAGATTAGGAATAATAAAGAATTGACTCCTTTCCTCCACTATGGACATAGTGCACATAATTGACAGTAGTGCGGGAGGGCAAAGACTGGTTTTTCTTCTTTACATCATGGCTTTATCCCTTGTTTCCCTTTGGCTCTGGTCACAGGGCTCCTCTGTTTGGTCAGAAACTCGATGTTGCTCTTTCACTGTCTCCAGCCACTGTCAGTTCTGTGGCCTTGTGGTTCCTCTTCTCCTAAGAACTATTAATTCTTCTCCCCTGAGGCCATTTAAGTTCCCTAAAATGGAGACATGTAACATACATAGGCTTCCGTTCCAGGGAACTAAGTTTGATTTCTGTAGCCTTTCTTTTATGTGTATATTTATTCTATTTTCTCTCTCTCTCTCTCTCTCTCTCTCTCTCTCTCTCTCTCTCTCTCTCTCTCTCTCTCTCTCTCTCTCTCTCTCTCTCTCTCTCCCCTCTCTCCCTCTCTCCCTCCCTCCCTCCTCTTGTCTCTCTCTTAGTAGTGTGTTTGTTATCCCTTTTAAAGGACAAGGCTAAAGATATAACTCAAATGTGTGACTAACAATGATAAACATCCTTTGCGAGTTGTCAAAGCACTGACTGCACACAAGGCAAGGGTACTTGTCAATACTTGTTTAAGAAATATAATCAATATCAGATCAAAATCGCAAATGTGATATCAATCGGATTGCTTATGTTTTGCATATGTAGACATTAAATGCCAGAAATGTCTTGTCATTTATATATACATGTGAACATGCACTCAGACACACTAATTTCCCAGTTCATCAACCATTCTCATGTCCTGACCCAAAGAACATGTGTGCCAGAGACTGTGGTGACACTCCATGGTTGTATCCTTTCCCTCCGTTCCCCTCCTGTACTTCTTTCCAGAAGTTGAACTACACAGGGTAGAAGAGATATGGAATGATAGGAGAATGGAAGGATCAAGTGAAGGTTTTTTCAGGATGAGGGTGGTATGAGCATGTTTGTAGACATCAGAGAATAAGCCAGTATACAGGGAGAGATTAAAAATAAGTGATAGAAAGGGGATGACAGAGGGGGGCATCTGTTGGAGGAGACAGGATGGAATGGGCTTGAGCAGGGAGAGGAGTTAGCCTTGGTAAGGAGGAAGGCCACTTCATCATGTGAGACAGGGGTGACTGTCTCAGTGTACTTCTGGAAAGCTCCTTTGGTTCCCAGCAACTGACCCCAATACAAGTGAAGATGTCTTACAAGCTATATCCAAGTGGTTGCTATTAGAATCAAAGATTTAAGACTAGAAAGCACTTTTGAAATTTATCTAGTCCAAGCCCTAGTAGTTTACAGATGAGGAAACTGAGGCAAACAGGGTTAAGTGACTTCCCTAGGATCACACAGCTAGTAAGTGTCTGAGGCCAGATTTGAATTCAGGAAGAAGTGTCTTCCTGACTCTAAGTCCAGCGCTCTATCCACTCTGCTACCAACATTTATTTATATTATAACAACAATTATATTATACCATATCTAATGTTGCAGACCAGACCCTGTAATTTCATTAATAAAGGGAACTCCTGAGAAGGAAAATCTCTCAACTAATGCAGATGATACATCTTAGAGGCTTGTCCAGGGCCACAAGCTACCTATGTGCGAAATAAAAGGCAGGACCTGAACATTGCCAGGTTCTCCCTTTCTCTAGGCCAGCTGTCTGTGCACCACTCCAAGGTCTCTCCCTCTTAGGGTTGTTTTGAAGCTTGGGAAACTTTTACAGGGTCTACAAGGTATTCTTTTCCTATCTTAGCAGTCTATAGATGGCTGTAGCACCTCAGTCCTAAAGCCCATTGGTATGGACCTCAAAGCCCGAGTCTTCCAGAAGGGTGGACAGGCCAGAGTTGGAGAGATCTCTACCAGTAAACCGATCTCTCAATCGGTTTTGGACCTGGGAGTTACATGGAGGGAGGCTAATTGAGTTGTTTTACTTCAGCAGAAACTAGCTAATTATAATTTCAAGTACAAAGCTGAAACAGGAGAAAAAGCTGCAGGACCCTAGTGTATGCAGGTCACTTCTTTAAGGAATGCTCTCAGAGTTTTTGAGGTAATAAAAAGTGCTCTGGGCTTCTAAGAGCTAAAGGTTCTGGGTAAATATATAACCTCCTCAAGTGCCTAGGGCATTTGAGTCATGCAGGTATTTTCCTTTCTGGTGTGGTTTCCTAGCAGCAGTTGAACCCTTTAATTTAGTGATTTATTTTCTTTAATGAGGGCCAAGGAAAAAGTGTTACTTCATTTAAATTACTGGCTGCTCCTCTGTCTTGTGGCTCCCACTGCAGAGATCAGTGGTGCCTCTTCCATACTGCCCTCTTTTTGGAGGTTGTTTGAACTATCCTCAAGTTCCATGAGCTTAGTGTAAAGTCTCTAGAAGGTCAGTGGTGCACCATCTTTCTTTTAGTGGCCTTTCACCGCTGTCCTTCCTTTTCTTGCTGTTTGCTTTTTGGCTTTTGTAGGTTTCCTGCCCCAGGAATCTGTACTTTCTAGTACTCTAGGTTGAGCTTTTTCATTGAAAATGATTCTCCAGCCATCCTTGCACTGGAGAAGCCAAATTGGAAACAGTAACTCCCCGGCAGCCCCAAATCTATATGGGCTTGTTTCTCTCATGGTTCAGAAGGCAATTACCCAGCTTATTAAATTCCACAGAAAATTCTTTCTTAACTGCTCAGTGTAGGCTTGGACCCAGTCAGGGTGCACTTAGCAGAATACTGAACTGGAAGTCAGGAAAACTGGTTTCTAGTTTTAGCTCAACTATTGAGTGATCTAGGACAAGATCAAATTGACACTACCATTCCTGGAAAGGGCACACCATCAATTCCCCTTTACTCCACTCACCACCCCAGGGACTTCTCAGTCTGAAATACCCCTCCCTATACACAATTCCCCTATATATTATCTTCTGTTAAAATGTAAGCTCCTTGAG